CCACCAGATCAGGGAACACTCCGTCACTCCATTTTCACAAATTGTCACTGAACTCACACCAAATATTCCCCCTCGGGAATCAGAAAAGAGCTTACATCCACTGCTTCTTCCTGTATTTTGTTATCTTTTCCTCGCTGGGCCACCACATATCCTTATTCCTCTTCCGTGACACTGCTGTTTCCTCTGTAAAATGTTTATCTGAGGAAGTCCCTCCATGTTCACAGTTGTTTCTTTATTGCACTCAAGCTCTCTAAATGCATTTGACAATACTTGGACTCGTGGCTCACAGCTGTGACAATTAGATGGACTGTGAAAATGTCAGAAACATTTTTGACTCTGCTTTGGTAGCAGATGCATATATATTATTACAATTATGCCTAGTTATTTGCCTAAATGTACGCAAATACTGACAAAGAGTGAGAAATTCTTTATTCTCTCCTGATGTGCTCACGTAACAAACTGTTTTGAAAGATGTCTCACATTTTTTGACAACTTCAACCTATCTTTCAGAAGAAAAAAAGAAAAGTAAAGCTAGAGTGACACAGCAGTCTATATTTAGTGCCTTTTTAAAAAATATTTGGCTTTTAAATTTCTGTATGACTGTCACAGCACAGAGTAAAGCTGAATTGTTTAAAGCGTTTTCTGTTGCAGGAATTCAAAAAACGAAAAAGAGCTTCTTGTAATTGATGTACATAGTCAAATTACTGCTTTATAATTTTAGTGAGCAATTTGGTGAAGGCATATTGCATAAGCAGAAAAATATTTCTCCTGTTCTAGTTCCTGCAGATTTATTGCCTCCAGAAGCATTTTCCTAATCTAATCTTGGGTTTTTAATTAAAATATTTTATCTCTTAAGATGTGATGTTTTCTTATCTTCAAAGACTTATTGAATTTCTAAATGAATGGAACACAATAAGCAATATTGAAGAGAATGAAAAACATGAAGAAAGGGCAATAATAATGCTCACTTCTGCAAGTCAAAGTTAAGCTGTCTAGCGAAAGTCTGACAGAGTCTTAGAGGACTTGGCTCGTAACTTCATTTTCATCATACTATAAATTAAAATGGCACAGTTTGTTATAATCCCTGAAGTTGATAAGGCATCTTTATTTTTACAGGATTTCTTCGTCTATGAGCCAGCTCTTCACTGACCTCAAAAACAAGCTCTTTGGCCGCCCCAGTGAGGTACAGTAGATCTACTTCTTTTTTCCCTCCACCCCATCACCACTTTGATGTTCCGTCTTCATCTATTGCCTATTTTAGCATCTTATTGCCAGGAACAATATAAGTGCAGTACTAATGTGATGCTCGCTGGCTGGTTGCTGTTGTTGGATACATGAAAGCCGCTTAACCACCAGGAGAACTGGCTCATAAAGAGCTCCATAAAGACAGCACGCCTTGACCTTGCCTAGACTCATAGATCCTGAAGGCTGTGGGAGCCAGAACTTGTTGTCCTTTGCCGAGAATAATAAATCTCAGAGGGTGTGTGGTTGCTGAGGCTAAAACCCGATCAGAATAGAAATGTCAGAGTATTTGATTTTAAATCATTTGAATGTAACACGAGTACAGTAAGTATGCTAGTGTTGGATGAACATGAACAGACATGTTTTGTCATTTAGATGCTTGTACAGTGTTGCCCGCGAGCAGCAAGCATTGATGGAACGTAGCTGTGGTGCACAGCATCATGGCTACCCTCGCTCTTGCAGGGCTTCCCTGAGGTACAGCACTGACTGGACTGATGATTTCACACTGGATTAATTTCAGTCTGAGCACAAATCTCTTCTGCAGTGCTATCTATAGGAGAAAACTCCACCAAACAACCATGGGGAGGTACCTGAACGTCTTTATTCTGCTAGCAAAGGAAGAATTCGTGTATGATTAGATACATAGAGAGATTAAGAATGATGCTGGATTTCATAGTCAGTTCAAATGTGAAAGAAAGCAGATAGATTATGTTTTTTATTCTTTTGAAAGTGCCAACAGAGAATAAGAACATGTGCTTGAATGCCCTGTGAATGTGTATTTTGCTAACTTTGCAGCGTCATTAAATGTAGCTCCTTAGTTTTTGTACTCAAAGACACAAATCAATACCCTTCCTGCAGTTCCTGCATTAGTGATTTCTTTTTTCTTTTGCTTCACTGAGTTGCAACACAAACACACACAAGAGTGGCCCATTCATCGGGGCATGCTGAAACATCAAAGGTGACAAGTTTAAAAGCCTAACTCTTTTGCAGTCTTACGAACAAAAAGACCTTTGATAAATGTTTGAACACATACTGCCCCCTGTATTGTACTGACTGCATTGAATCAATGTTGCCTAAGAAAAGTACACTGAAGGGAGGAATCATACAACTCCAATACCAGAAGAGTTGAGAAGCTGTGTAAAATGTAAACAAGACTGCAATAATTTGTATATCTCCATTCATCCATCAATCCATTCATTCTGTTTGTCTAATTCAGTGTCGTGGGGGGCTGAAGCCTATCTCAGCTGCCATAGGGCGAGAGTCTCAAATCTCACACGTTCATATTTTATTCACAATAGAAAATCAAATGTTTAAACTGAGAAAATGTTTAATTTGAAGATAAATGTTTGCTCATTTTGAATTTGATGAGAGCAACACATGCAAAGAGCAAAGTTGGGACAGGGCTATGTTTACCACGGTGTAGCATCTTCTCTGTATTTAACAAAAGTCTGCAAACATCTGGGAACTAAGGAGTTTAGTTGTTGGCCTTTTGGGGGGGAATTTTTTTCTTTTTCAGTTCGGTTTTGGGTTTTTGGCGGTTTACCGTTCGGGGGCTTTTTTTGTTTTTTTTTTCTTTTGTTGTTGTTCCAAATGTTTTTAGTTGACGAAAGGTGCTGCTTGCAGGCTATGCTGCTGTAATAGATGCAGTATGCACTTAGCATTGTCTTGATGAAATGTGCAAGATCTTACCTGAAAAAACATCCTCTGGTTAGGAGCATATTGCTCTAAAACCTTTCAACACTAATGCTGTCAATTCCAAAGGCAGTAATTCTGCTCTGTACCATCAAAAATGCAGGTTTTTGGAGATCGCTGTTTGGTCGTGTTGGTGAACATAAGACAAAACTCAGACCAATAAAATGTCAGCATTTTTCCAACACACGCTTTCTAATGATGCCCTCGCACATTTCAAACTAGAATGACTCACCTCACCTCACATTCTTAAATGGATTTAAAGCACATGAACAATGTGCGTTAGCAGAGAGAAAAACAAGATATGCCTGTTATATTTGACTTTACAAAAATCAGCCTCTTCTTAGTTAACAGATGTGCTTTGTCTCAATAATTTACATAATTCCCCTGTTTTCATTAACATAGTAAGACATGTAAAGTGCCTCTTTACTCACCATTTAGTATCCTATTAGGATTTGATCCAGTATTGCTGTTTATTAATCACACAAACATTATACGCTGCACTTTTGTTTGCTGTTAATATTGTGTTAATCAGCGGCTGTAAGAAGCACCATCATATATAATACTGCATTTCATATTAGTGCTAATTAGATACATAAAATCACTACATGCAATATTTTCTTTTGTCCATTATGTGAATTTAATTGGTGACAGTGAACAATCGAACACTCACACATTTGGAATTCAAATGGTTATTGTCATAAATGCATACGGTATGTTAATCGTGTGGATGCTGTCTGCAAAGATAAAGTGAATGCATTTATTCAGGATTGTTTATGTAAAACTAAAAGGGCAGAGCTGTTTGCGATTATCCACGAGAAGCAACTGTATGTAACTCCATCAAATATTTGCCCTGTTAAACTGAACTGAGCGCACAGTAAACATGCTCAGATTTTCCTTGTGTTCTTTTTTCAGGGAAACACACTGTAGAGCATCAATGTTGAAATAGGGATTATGGCGTGTTTAGTTGGTTTCTTCACATCTTGAAACTGGGCCTCACTGCATAAAAGACAGCCTGCTTTCAGCCTGCAATCGATTACTTTGATCACACTTGGTTTCAATTTTCTGTTTTTATTAAGCGCTGTACTGATCTGTCAGAAGCAACTGACAACCTTTACAACTTTCTTATTCAAGACAAAACAGACACTGTATTCTAATGTGTGGCCAGGAATATCTTCCGCCCACTCTAAGATCTTCTAATATATTTCTTTTGTTGTTCTAAACTTAAACTAATTACACAGCATTGTAGATAATGGTGGAGAAAATTATGTGCCTCTCAGCTGTATACAGGAGCCCTAAGCCAAGGCTGCAGTCCTGCAGGGGATTTTGTGTCTCATGAGAACACTTTGTTCCATTAATTTGCATAGAGGCAATGGATTGGCTTTAATGGAGTTGCAGTACATCGCCTCACACAAGGTGATTTCATACAACTTGTTTTTAGAATGCTGAATCTACTTCGGCCAAACGAACAGAAGTATTGCTGACACGATAAAAGGCACAGCTTCGCTTGTTTTAATAATCACTGGGAACGATCCCTGTACAGTGAGTCATTAGATGTTTGCATCATTTTTTTATTATAGAATTTACATTAATATAATAGATTTAGTCTTCGCGCGTGTGTGTATGTGTGTGTTGAGCGAGAGTGCTGTGTGCACTGTGTCCAGTTTGTGTAGGCATGTGTTGTGTTGCATTAACATGGTTTAATCCTCACCATGGCTTATTGGATACAAATCCTTCCCAAAGCTTTTAAAGCTTCTGCCTTTTCATTTCTGTCTCTCTGCCTCTCTCCCTCCCTCTCAGTGTCTTCTTTCTTATTTTTAACCTTTTTTCCCAAAATCAACCTATGTGGGGGTTTGAATAGATTTTTTTTTTGACACAATGTTAATAAACCACTCCTGATGATTAGCTGACCTGCCATTGCCTGCATGCAGTATTGTCAAACCTAAGCGGTCATGATACAATTAATGAAAGTACATACACGTTGTAAACTTCAGTCTGTCTCTTTCCCTTTTGCTAATGTCTCTGTAAAAAAACGTCTGGGCAGCACAGAGAGTCTCTCTTACTCTGGACTACTTGTTTGACAACTTCTGCACGAATCACTAGCTTGTGCCTATCCCTGATTACCCTTTTGCTAGATATAGTTGTGTCTGTTTTAGAGCAGGGCGATATGACCAAAAATATTTATCACGATATACATTTGAAAATTTGCGATAATGATATAACTGACAATATAATTGACACTAGACAAAATACTTTACAACTCCACAACTTTATTAGTGCAAAAAACCCCATCAATGTATTTTCACTTAAACAAGCAGCTGCTTTTTTATGTGCATTAAAGTTATATAAAAATGTAACAGTGCAAATTCCTTGCTGGCAGTTTAACCAAAAGGCATTTCCAGTGGAAACTGGCAGACATACCCTGAGCATAACCATGTATAATATCCACAAAACTTAAAAAGAGGTTGGAAAAGAAATAGTAAAAACTTATATGTGATTACTCATGAAAGTCGCCACTTTCTCATTAATTTCATACATTGTTTTAGTAAGTATCCAAAACATACAAGTTTCATTATATAATTTTTCAAGGGATCTTATATCTGTTTTCACTCTTATATGCTTTTCATACAAGTTTCACACAAGACAGATACAAACTTTACAAGATTTATATATATCTTTTCCATATGGGACACAATACAGTAATATTATGTTGAAGCGCAGTACGTATCACTCCACGAGGCGCCTGCCTAATATAGCCGTAATGCTCCGACAATCCATCATGTGGTGCAGCTTCGTAGCTTAGCAAAGTCGCACTAAAACATTTGACAGATTTTCGAGCGCCATGTACATAAAATCGTTTCGAGGTCAGTAAACACAACCAGAATTCATACATAAGGCACACGGGATTATAAAGGGCACTGTCGATTTTCAGAAAAATCAAAGGATTGATTTTAAGTGTGCTGTATAATAACGGTAATAACGACGGCCCGCTAGCATGCTCTACCAAAAATAGTGCTTTGTTGTGTATCTGACGGACGAAAGCCTAACCAGTTCCACACCACTGAAGTTGCAGCATTTTTACAAACCAATTCTGGTTCATCTGTTTCATTTAACGATCCACTTTCGCTCTTCTCATTCTGCGTCGCCGACATGTGCGTATGTAAACAAAGGCACTGCGCATGCGTGTTTTACCCATATTCTGTCGCGATATTTCATTTTCCTATCGTTGCCCAAAATTACACCGGTATTACC